GTCTTGGACCAGAAACATCCCCCTCCTTTTCTAGTCAATATTTGTTTGCTAAGGAAACAGTCCTGTGTTAAAGTGACACAGCAGCATCACTTTCACAATTGCAAGGCTACCAACTGAAATTTGGGCACAGTTTTGGGGTACCCAATGTACAGAGATGCACACGGGGCTGAGAAATGCGTATTTACAGTGAGGGTTCGGTGGTAGGAAGCAGCAGTGACTTAACTCTGTTCCCATTTCTGATGACAGAACTGAGGGTTTGAATTAAATGCAATGCTGAGCACATTTGAAATATTCCACTCTGCACATTTTGTAGCACTGATGAGTGAACTCGACATCCAGTTTGTCAGAAGCCACATGTTTGGTATGTACGTGGTGCACTTAGAAATCTAATTCCTAATTCTGTGCTGTGCTGGCAATAAGGGACCTCTGACCTCTGCTGCCCTGGCACATGGAGATTAGATATGTGTGTGTGTGACTCAGAGGAAGCTTAGTTGTTCACCGATGTAAGAAAAAGAGGTGGAGCTGCAGGAGCTAAGCAAAACCCAAAGCACTTTTATAACCTACCAAGTTCATGCCCAAAAAAGCCATTCAAACCCCAGTTCCCTCAAGAGATAAAAGTCCCATATATTGAGAGAATTTCTAGAGCATCTTGGGAGCACTGAGTATAGCCTCGATTAATGGAAGGCAGCTCAGCATAGTTGTGTGAGAAGCTGCTGTGACACAAAGCCCAAAATGCTTTAGCAAGAGAGCAGAGCACCAGAAGGGTTTAATGGCATTATAACGTCCTTGAATGACAGTGGCCACAACACAGAGAGATGTACTCCAGCAGTACATTAGCAGTAAAAGAAAATCCACCCTTCCTCTCTTGAGCCCTTGTCACCTTTACTGAAACCTGGAGTTACCATCCCTGAGATATCAAAACTGAAAGGCAGGAGGAAAGCGAAAGGACGTATGGGTGGGAGTCCTCGGATTTTGGAAAGTAAACAAATTGATTTTCCCCACACATCACCCACCTTGCTCCAGCCCCTTTGTAGTTCCTACTGCATTTTAGAATGTGTTTGATAGTTTTCTGAAATCTGTTTTGCGATCAAGTTCTTGCAACCTGATAATTCCCTTAATAACTAACTGTTGGGGAGCTGTTTGTTGATTTAGTACCGACCCTTTCTTTCATTTGCACACTCATGCACACGTATCCGAGGGTATGTGCAGTCGCTCCATCCATGCGCTTAATAAACTTGAACCACAGCCATTTCTGTTGCGTGCGGTGAGGCGTGTAAAGCAAGAACCGTAGTACAGGAAGGAGGGTTGGTAGTTAAAGGCTGTTTATATGAATTGACACTAAGGAAAAAGAGCTGCTTGGCAGGCTGAGGAATTGAAATCCATTACAGATTGAAAAGGAGACGTGCAGGCTCAGAAAAGGCAGTGGCAGCAGCAGCTTCTCTGTGCTGCCCCCATCAACATTAACATGGAGAAGCCATGTGAGGGGGGACCTGGTCGCTCCCTCCGCCTGTGTCAGCCGCGGGGACTGCCCGGAGGCTGCCAGCTGCTGAGCTGCGTGTGTTGGGTTTGCTCATGTGTGTATTTGTCATGCAGAGGCTCGGCTGAGTCCCATCAAACTCATTTCACAAAATATTCACTCATTTCCAACAAACAGTTTAGAAAAATCAGTCTCAAAAGAGAAAATGAAGCTCGATTTTTCTTCTTTCTGTACATCTTTTTAGTCTTTTCTCTTGTGCTGGAAGATGAACGGTTTGGATGTGTCTGCAGTAACACGGACATGGCTAATCTGCCTTTCTATTGATGACCTGTTTCTGAATGTCCTGGCCTGATTTATGAAAATGTACTGCACTTTGCACTGTGTTTTGATGTTGCTCTGTTAGGACTGCATGCAAACTGCAGCAGAACAGTGATGCTTATTCATTCAAACAGTGAAGGGCTGGCTGGGATCTGAATGAGCTCATAGTTGTTGCTGTCTTCACTTACAGAAAGGGAAACAGGAGAAAGCGGGTATCCCAAGCCTAGTAATTCTTTTCCTGGCCATCAGTTTGTTTTATAAATCATAATCTTGAAGGCACAAGGTCATGATATTTATTTAATCATTCATATAGTAGGTTGTTAGGGATGGATTCTTATTTTAACTTTCCTTTCTATAATAACCCCTGATAAAGTTGGAACTGAGGTCCATTTGCCTGCCAAATTTTCTCTCTCTTCCTATTGCTTGAGCATTAATGAATTTAAAATCTGAGACGCTGAATTTAAAATCCCATCTCTTACTAGGTTAACTCAGCAGTTCCCTCTATTGCTTGGGAGAGTCTCAGTGTGCTGAACTGCTCTTCACACACACACAGACCAATAAAAACAACAACAAAATCCCACCTGTGCTGTCTAGGTGTGCTTCAAAAGCCACTGCTCTGACAGGGAAACCCTACCACAGAGGAAGGATTTTTGGTGGGTCCTCTGCTAAGAGCCCTGTTGGAAGCACAGAGCAGAGGAGATGCAGGGGGAGGGAGGAGAGGTCTGCTGGGGAGCAGGGCTCAGTGCTCTGCAGAGGACCCTGCGGTGGTTTGGAAACATCCCTCAACTATGATTTCTGTGCTGCAAGGCACGGGAGTTTACCTGTTGTTTTAAACCACTAGGAAATTGTTTCAGTCCTATGTTGATCACCCGTGGGGACATTTAATTGCCTAATGTGTTAATGAGCTAAGATTCTCAAATATATGAGGTGTTGCTAGCTGGAAGCAGGGGTGGTGAGGAAGTCACGCTGAAAGCCGTTACCTGGCCCCATGCCCCACTAAGGAAAATCCTTGTCTTCAAGCCGTTCGCTTGTACGTGTGGTCCAGCCTGCAGAGCGCAAAGACAAGTGAAGGATCTCAGGGCAATCAGCTCCCAGGTGGAATGTTTTCCTTGGGGCCACCTTGTCTTCAGCTTTGATCTGTTGCCTCTCAGGTAGAAATCAGCACTTTGAGATTTTGCCCAGTTTTTCTTCTCACTGGCATCCCAGGGAAAAGAGGAAAAACAGCAGACAGAGCTTGTTAGCACATAGCAGAGTTGTCTGGGTTGAGAACAGCACTTAAAATACAAAAAGGCAACAGGGATAAGTGCAGTGCCAGCAAGGAATAGATAAATTCCACTTATGGAAGCGAGGTAGCCCATGAGGTGGGAAAAGGAGCACATGTACCTGACACTGCCTGAAGGTCTTCTGACTTCCTGCCTGTTGGACTGGCTATTAATATTGCAGGTTGTAAGCATGATGTAGTTCTTGCCCTGAAAATATTACAGTTCCATTAGTGTGCCTTCTGTGAAGATGCAAGAATAGTGTCCGTGCTCCTGCTGCTGCCCAGTCACACTGCTCCCAGAAGGGGAATGTGCTTATGCCGCCAGCCTTCCCTATAGCCATTTCTGCAGGCTCCCATGGACCTTCTCCTGGAGCTTTGCAGAGTCTTGTCTTCCTCAGCTCAGGCCAATTTGGATCAGCATTATGATGATGTGGGCATTACATTAGTGACACAGAACCCAGCTGGAGCTGGGACTCATCTGTGCTCAGCTGCCTGCTGTGAGGTCCTTCCCCTGCATCGCATACTCCCGAGCTTTGAAGCTTTTTTGACGGCAGCTACGTGTTCTTACTGTGCAGGACAATGAGGTTGTTTCCTGACAGGAGCTGTTAAGAGCTAGTGTAAAACACGCTAACATGAGAATATCCAAAAAAACAGATTCTGCCTTTAAATAAACTCCTTCCAAAACTGCTGAAACCAATGGCAACTGTAAGATTTTGACCTTAAAACAGATGTTACTTGCAAGGGAGACATTGCAAGAGTCATGATAACCTTTTCTGGTACCTTACCTAGGCTCAGACAAGCAAGGAGGGAAATGGATTTGCTATGGATCTGTCTGTAAGGGGGGTTGTTGTTGTTTAAAGATAATAACATTAGGAATGCAAATTATCCTACAAAAGCTGGTGATATTTAAATACAATTTAAATTCATTTAGCATTTATACAGAAAAGTAGAAAATGGCATTAAATTTGGATGAGGATAAGACTGCGTTCTGGAGTCAGAAGTATTAAATACATCTACAGAATGGAATAGAAGGTCTAGCTGGTAATGGATTGTGAAAAGAGTTCAGGGTTTTAATAGATCATTCCTTCAGATCATCAGCATGGTAAAGTGGTAGTTAATAAATTATTTGACGTGTACATTTACTCATATATTTTAACTAGCTGTAATGAACAGGCCCTGTCAGCTCACCTAGATCCTTGCAATAGCTGCTAAATCGCTTGAGTGAGATTTAGTAACTCTCAGTGATATTGATGTCTAGAGCTGCAGGTAGTAAATGAAGTGACATCAGGACTAGCTTGAGCAGAACATTGTGTAAGACCTTTGTCAGGCTTGCAGCAGAGATGAAGCTGTTTGTCCCCAATGAACAACACTGAGCATCAGTGAACTTGTCCCTGTGATTAGTTTTTGGTTGTTGTGACCACCCCATGCCCTGGTGCCTGTAATGGAACTCCTGAAAAACCCTTTGTCCCAATTTGGAGTTGACTAGAGAAATTTGTCCCCTCCTCAGTTCTGTACACAGGCAGTTCCCTGTTCCTCCCCGCAGGTCTGTGGTATTCCTCAGGCTGCACACAAAGCAGAGGAGGAGGATAGTAGAATCTGACTGAGCACTGGGGAGAGGAGAAGAATTCTCTCTCTGTGCTATTATCCTAGGACTATCCTAGTGTTGGAGTGGGAATCGAGGACAGAAAGAAGTTGTTCTTTTATCTTAGGTTATACTGGAAATGTCTATGGCAGAAAAAGTCTGCCTGTTAAAATTATGCCAAATTATACAGGCTATTAAGGGCACACCAGGCACCTTTCTTGTTATTCCTAAATGTCCTCTGAACTTGGAGTTAGTTTAAACCCATATCCTTTCTCTTCTTCCCACTCACTTTCCCAGCATGTGGTGTACTTTATAATTTGTGAAGAGACTCATTAATTTTTTTTTCTTTCTCCTTTTTTTAGGTTTCTGACAGATGTGACTATGTCTTTGTCAATGGGAAGGAAATGAAAGGCAAAGTGAATGTCATAGTTAATTTTACTTACCAGCATCTGAGTGCCCCTTTAGAAATGACAGTCTGGGTTCCTCGTCTCCCACTGCAAATAGAGGTCTCTGACACAGAACTAAATCAGATCAAGGGGTGGAGAGTCCCCATCATCTCTAATAAGAGGTAGGTTTCATTAGAGGATGTTCATTCTGCGCTGTGCACTTGCCAAAGACCTGTCAGGGCCAGTGAATCTGAATATGCTCATTTGGCCTTAATGCAATTCCATTGTAAATTTGAAGGTTACCAGACATTTATTCAATAGGCTCCTGCACTGGACTTGGAGGGAAATGGAAACTGCAGGTTGCACGATCCTACATTGGAAATCAATTTCCTTTTATAGCACTAGTGACTGAGATGGAAAGAGACAGTTGGTCAAGTTGGGCAGGATCAGCCATGAGGCAGCAGGAAGACATTAACAAGGACCAGCTCTGGCAAGGCTGGTTGGTCTCCAGCCTGGTTCACAGGTCCTGCCACTTAATTTATTCAGTGTTACTGCTCACAATTAGTACATACTTGTTTCATATAACTGTAAGGTTCAGTGGCACTGGTCAGTGTCCCAAAGTCATTGGAACATTGATACACTAGGGTTTTAAAGATACTGTCCGTGCCCACAGGTCAGTGGCAAGTGAATGACAGGACAGAGGATGGATGTAGGCAGATCTAGACCGTGTCTGTTGTCAATGTTATTGAGCACAAGAAGAACGAATTGATAAAGTAAGTACTTGCTATTCCTACCTACCTATGAAGACATGATTTATTACCAGGTATCTGTTAGTATCACAGGAAAGAGATGGGGATTTTGGTACAGATGTGATTTGGTACACATTTGGTACAGATGTGAACCTGAATGCCATACAGAAAGGGATGTGTATGTAGGTGCAGACAGAGGAGATTTCCATGGTAATGCAAAGATGCTTATGGGAAAATCCAAAAAGAAAAAAGTGTGAAGATCTTGAAAGTATGACTTAACATGGAAAATAATGAGATATATTTTTAGAAGACAACATAGTAGCAAAGCTAGCACGCCAGTTGATGATTTCAACTGCTGTTTTGGAGATCTAGGCACCCTGGAGGTCTCAGTTATGAAGAAAGTAAACAGGATAAAAGTGGAGAAACCTGACTGACTTCAGAAATGCACTGAAGGAAGCAGCTTCAGCAGAGCAACAGAAGGGGGAAAAGGCTCCTTGTTCCAGCAACTAGGCTAAGACTTATGTCAGCAATAGCTCTGCTGTTGTACCAGTTTAAATTAATTTTTATTCTTGGTGTCCTACCAGACCAGCCAGGGACAGTGATGATGAAGAAGAGGATGAACGTAAGGGAAGAGGCTGCACCCTTCAGTACCAACATGCAACAGTGCGAGTCCTCACGCAGTTTGTAGCTGAAGCCTCAGACCCCAGTGGCCAGCTGAGCTATTTGCTGGGTTCTGACTGGCAGATTGACATCACCGACCTGGTGAGTGACTTCATGCAGGTGGAGGAGCCAAGAATTGCCAAGCTACAAGATGGACAGGTTTTGATTGGGCAAGAGCTTGGAATGACAACAATTCAGGTAGGGAAAATTAATTACTTATTCCTTTTCCTCCATTAACCCACCACCTCAGGAATGGAAAAACTCATCAGGTGTACAGCAGCTTCTTGCATTAGCAACAGAAATTGAAGCCATAAATTTCTGAATGGAGCAGAATTGAGAAAGGACTGAAAGATCACAGAAGAGATGGTTTTCTTTTCTTATCTTGTACCCTGAAGTACCTAGGCTGCAGTTTTAGCAAATTTAGCCCAACCTGTATACTTAAAGGCTGTTTCTGATTATTTTTGTCTAAGGCCAGTGTATGGGCTATCACAAGGCACGCAGCTGGTGAAACAGCTCACTCTTCTCAAAGCCTACATTGACAGAGCAAAGGATAAAGTAAAAATTAACTAGTGCTGGTTGAGGAACTGAGACTGGAGTATAAGTCCCATGGGATCAAATCCCTGCACACTTTGCAAGCTCAAGGAGTCTGTTACAAAATATAAATGTTAGGGTACGTTTCAGAATATGCACAGAGTAATAGTAACAATTGGTACTTCTAGAATGATGTTAGAAGACTGACCAATTAGTGACAACTAAGTTATGTTCTCCAGGGATGCAGTTTCACTAGGTTCAGCCAATATGGCCAAGAATATGGTCTCTAAATACTGCTGTATATGTGGCTGTGCCTTAATGTCCCCACTCCGAAGTAACTCACCTAGAGCTATGCATCATGTCACTGGCAGCTTTTCACATATAGTTCTTCCTGCTGTACAGAGAAATACTGACCTAGAAGTTGGGATCCCAGAAGAAAAGAGAAGGGGGAAAAAAAAGGAGATGAATCTTACAAAGCAGGAAATGTGTTAACAAGCACTGGAACAGGAAAAAAATCTACCTCTCCAAACATACTTGTCATCCCAAACTGTCAAACTAGAAAACAACTACCACACCTATCGATATCAGAGGTTTTCAGGGCTGGAGAAATGGGATTTGAGATTTTTGACTTTCTGCAAAATCTGTAAAGATTTTCTGAATGACTTTCCAAAGCTCTGGGACTTACAGTGCTCCTACAAATGCACATAAAACTGTGGAAAGAAAAATCCAAAGGAAAAATTCTGAGAGCAAATTATATTTAAAGAATACCTCTTATAAGCTGCTTCAAAAATGTTCTGTAGCCTATATGTATTATTCAATTCAACTTGCTTGCTGATGAACATCTTTGGATGCCATGCATCAGTGCACTGACCTCCAGGTACATTTTTTTTAACTAAAATAAGTTTTCTTTGTCAATTTTGTATGCGGTACCATTAGTGTTTATTATAACAACACATAAGCCTTTCTGTCTATAGGATAGAAATAAATGTAATTTGTTCTATGGATTTTATCTAAATCTATAGATTGCATTATATATATGCTACCTGAAAACATTATCATTAATAAAATAATTGTTTTTCACATAAAGATTACATTTACAAATAGTTAATACCTCTGAATCAGATGTTTAGCGTATCACAGAGGTGAATGGTGTAGCTATTGAGCATTGCATTGGTAAAAGGTGTTATAAGCACCCTGTTATTGTGAAAGAGTTATAAAACGTGACTACTCTTTTTTAAACCATAATTTAATAGTGTGTCTCTGCTAAGAGTAATTCCGTCCATTAACATAAATATCACTTATCTGTGTTGTAATAGTTCCATGGAGCTGTTTTGCTTGGTGGCGTGCAGAATGGCTGTTGCTAACTTTGATTTGTCTTTTCAGATATTGTCCCCTCTTTCGGATGCTATCTTGGCTGAAAAGACAGTGACAGTTCTGGATGAGAAGGTGACAATAACTGACCTGGGAGTGCAGCTCGTCACTGGGTTGTCGCTTTCTCTGCAGCTTAGTCCAGGAAGCAATAAGGCCATCTTTGCTACAGCAGTAGCACAAGAGCTACTCCAATCTCCAAAACAGGTACTGTTGCCCAATGTCATGAAAGAACACTACTCTGATTCACTATACCCAACATTACAAGATTATGGAATCAAGCAGATTTTTATTCATGACATGATAATAAAACATCTTCCTTACAGACACTTTTTTCTGAAGGCTACTAGGTGCCCTAACAGAAAAACAAACATCTCACAAAAATGACAGCCCCAGTCAACACACAGGCATACTCTTTTTGTTATGGCTGCATCCCATAAATAACACATGTATAACTCAATGATGTGTCGTAATTAAATGCCAGCGGTCCCCTTACACCCATGCATACACACACATGTCCTTTCTGTCCCATTCAGCACCTACTAGATCACAGGAAATATTGCCAACTACATTGTTCAGTTCAGCCTCCCACCACAGGCAACAAAATCAACCCTTTAAGTCCATCTTTAAATGAGAAACTGTTTTGTATAGTGCTAAACTCTTCTTCCTTTCGTTACTTTCTGTGAGCTTTTTAAGAAGCTGAGGAACATCCTTTTCATTTGAATTAATTACTAGAATGTGAATCAGCATCATTGACTCTTTTCCTGATTCATGATTTCATAAATCATTTTTTTTCCCCTGTTATTCTTAGTTCCTGTGTTACAGATCATTATCATGTCATGTTCCCTTTCCCTTCACTCAGATTGTGACAGGTTCCCTTGACATGACATATCTTACCGTGTGCCTGAGGAGAACAAGAGAGGTTTTTTTCCACTGCAGATTAGCTGTGTTCCTGCCTTTGTTGTGGAGTTACTCCTTGAGCAATATGAGACTTTCCCTCTTCTGGTGCAGTTCAGTCAAACTTCACACTGCACAAGCTCTCACAGATCTGGAATCCTTATGCTGAGCCATCCATATGCTGTCACTGTTCCTGTGCAGTTACCGAGGGTTTTTGGACTTTGCCATGTCTGCATCGGTCCCTGCTTGATATTTGTCCTTGTGCTTCTGTCTACATTTGAAATTTAAACTTTTTTTTCAACCCAAATCCATCAGTCTAGGACTTGCATCAAGGATGCACTAGGCTCTTCGGGCTTAAACATGTTCTGAGCCTTAAAGGTAAATGATCATGGCATGCACATTTGAAATCTGCCCAACTGTTGAGCTGCTTTAATTCATCATAGGGTCTTATCCTTGAGATGCAGGATGAGTAATAAAACAGAACTGCTGTCTTTATAGGGTGATGAAAATCAGGCTCCCCTAGTATTCTGGGAGTTAAGAAATCAATGCCAGGCAGCTAGAAATAAGGCCAGCAAGCTAATCCATTGCTGACATGGGGAGTTAAACAAAGTACCTTGAAATCAGCCCAAAACCTGGGGTTGATGGCATTTAGTCCCAGTATGCTGCCCAGCACTGACATTTCAGTTTCCAGAAATGCAGTCTGGATGAGTCCCTCTCTGAATGCAGGGGTACGGCCAGAGCAGCACGGGATGGGTATTAAACCAGCAAGGAAGATGTGCACCCTGCACCCTTCAAGGACTGACTCCGTTTTCGAAGGCATCTGATTCCTTCCATTGCTTCGTACATGATTTTCAGAGCACAATCCCTATAAGCAAAGCAAGGCAAAATTATTAAATGATTATGCAGGTTTAAGCAACACAGTGGGAGGATGAGAGCTGATGACATAAATTCTATGCGGCCTTCAAGAAATATCCAAAGATTAATAAACACAAAGCCGGGATTTATGACAGTGTCAGCAAAGTCAGGGCTCTGTCCTGAAACAGAGAGAGAAGCAAATCTCCCATTGAAGCACGGGGAGCTTTATGGCTATAGGGATTTCAGAACCAGGCCAGTAGATTATGCACAATAAAATCCCAAAAGGCTGGAGGCTTATTGTCTGTGATCTGAACAGGTGAATGACTGTGTGCTAGAAACAATTTAAATGATAATGATAAATATTTATTCTCTGTATATATGTTGAGTTAGAATGTAAGTACAACCTGTTTGAAAAGCTGCTTATTTAAAGAAACAAGACTTTTATAATCATGCTTTCAGCAAGTACGATCATTAATCTGTTGGCTGGGTGTTTGCCTGTCTGTCAGGCTCTCCCTCAGAGCAGGGTGATCCCAACTCTTACCAGACAAGAGCTCACATCATTTTACACACCAAAGAATCTACTCATCAAACCAGGAGTCTTTCTGATGTGGATTCTCCAGTGTCTAATAACATGCAAATATTGCAGCTGAAACAGAGGAACTCACACCATCAGAAGCAGGTATTGGAATATTGTCTGTAAATGATTCATGTGTGAATACCAAGATTTTTTCAGGTAGCACAACAATTTTCCATAGCCATTTGAGAGTCCTTAGAGGACTGGATTTAAAAAAAAAAAAAAAAAAAAAAAAGATGAGCACATGTTTTCTGAAATGTAAGAATGCTTTAAAATGTTTAAAATTAGAAACCAAAAGTCAAGGTTCCCAGGAATTCTGCACTATTAAACATGTGTGAATACAGAGTTAGGACTCAGGTCTGACCCATTTACATTCAGTAAGCCTCCATGCCCTCTGAAGTATACAATCTGCATTGCTGTGACACAAGATTAAACTTCATTATTGTCTTGCTTTTAATTGCTAACAAGCGTGGAAATTACCCTGGCCATTTCCTAAAGAAACAACTGATCAGTTTCCTCTGCCTGTACAAAATACTTATTTAATTTGAGAGACAAAAATCAAGGACTAAAGGTATGGAGCCATGTATGGACCTGCTTGTTGTATTTTTTAACCTGTGTTGTGTGTAACAAGAAGAGACTTTGCATTTTAAGCAGTTTAGAAATAATGTAATTTTTTTATCATTTAAATATACAACAGTCATTTGATCTCAGTCACTGGTAATGCTTTCTGACATGCAATTTATTATGGCGCTGAAGTAGATTCTGCAGAGCCCAGGGGATACAGCTCCTTTAAGCACCTTTGCGGAAATAACTCTTATTATCAATGAGTGTTTTAAACTAGTATTTCTCTTCACATCTTGGCAAGATATTAATTTTATTGGTCTCCCTTTTTATTTCTTTTTTGGTTATAAATGGTATATGGATCTTGTGAGGAGGAGGAAATAGACCAGGACAGAACGTATTTCCCTCGATATTTATTCTCAGTGTGCGTATATTTGTTTTATATATTATAGGAAGCAGCCATCAGCTGCTGGATCCAGTTCAGTGATGGATCTGTCATGCCCCTGGATATTTATGACTCCAAAGACTTCTCCTTGTCAGCCACATCTCTGGATGAGAAGGTGGTCTCCATTCACCATGACCCCAAATTCAAGTGGCCTGTGATTGCTGCTGAAACAGAGGGCCAGGGGACACTGGTGAAGGTAGAGATGGTGATCAGTGAATCATGCCAGAAATCCAAAAGAAAGAGCATCCTAGCTGTTGGAAGTGGTAGCATTAAGGTCAAGTTTGGGCAGAGCGATGCCAACCCTAACACCAGTGACAGTAAACACAGAGGTGCTGGCGTACACCTAGAAAATCATGCCAGTGACCGGCGTCAGAAAACCACTTTGCATGAAAGAGCTGGACTAGATGGCCAGTATTACAGCTCCTCAATGGGCCATGAGCAAGGCAAAGGGACCACTACTCAAAGGTCTATCTTAAGTAAAAAAGAAGACAGAGAAAGTCTCCTGGATGATGACAGTCATCTGCAGAACATCCCAATAGACTTCACGAGCTTCCCTGCACAGGTGGATCTGCCAAGAAACAACGGAGACTTGGAAGAGAATGACTTAGTCCAGACCCCCAGGGGACTCAGCGATCTGGAGATAGGAATGTATGCTCTTCTGGGAGTCTTTTGCTTGGCAATTCTGGTTTTCCTTATCAATTGTGTCACTTTTGCTTTGAAGTACAGAAACAAACAAGTTCCCTTTGAAGAGCAAGAAGGCATGAGCCACTCTCATGACTGGGTTGGACTGACCAACAGGACAGAACTTCTGGAGAATCACATAAATTTCTCATCCCAGCAAGATGAACATATCACAGCCATTGACAGAGGAGTGGACTGTGAAGAGAGCAAATATCTCCTCAACTCAAATGCCGCCAAAAATATTAATGGACAGTCTTTCAGGTCTGCTGAGTCCACATTCACTGAAGGTAAAGAACAGAAAAGTGAACCAACTACTTCTCCTACCTCTAAGAGGAAACGGGTTAAATTCACCACCTTTACCACCATCTCCTCTGATGATGGGTGTCCAACTGTCAACTCAATCTTGATGAGCAGCGAGGATGACATTAAATGGGTCTGCCAGGATATGGACCTGGGGGAAAGCAAAGAACTTAAAAACTATATGGAGAGATTACATGAAAATGTGTAATGAGACACAAAAGACACTTTTGTTTGGTCTGTTTGTTTGTTTGTTTTTCACTCACCTTCTGCCTTTAATTTTGGGTAGTGGGGCAAAATGGTGTGTTGATAACAAGAAGCAGCTGGTAGATAATAACTCATTGGAGCCCCAAGAAGCCACCCAAAAGCAGCTGGGAGAGCAGAGATTGTGAACAGCTCTTAAAATTCAAGTCTTCTCTGTGCTCAGAGATGGAAGTGAGAGATGTGTGGGGGGTTTTGATGCATGGTAACATGAAAAAAAACCTTACCAAAATAAATACAGTCTCATTCTCTGAGCTTTCCCAGGAAATCAATAAATATAACAAACTCCAGTGCAGTTTGGATATTACAAAGTTCGCACAGCTCTACTGTTCAATATTGCAAGCTTTGGTTAAAAGCAAAAAATTGGTCTCAGAATAAATAGATCCACAAAGAGAGCATGTAATTCAAGCCACATGCAGAGAATATCCATCCAAGAACATTAATTTAAAGCTGACAAAAACCAACAGTGTGAGCAAAGCAGCTCCCAGAGCTGAAAAGTCACAAGTTTCCAAAGAATCTGCAGGGGGGAAAAGGAGAAACTGGGCTGTTTACAAACCAGCATGTTTGCCTCCCAAGCACTGAGAATGGATACACATATACAGTTAAAACTGAAACTTTCTTTTTAAGTAGATGCCAAGGTAATAAACTTGCCATCCAATTTTCGATATTTCTTAATTTGTAAAATAGGAGAAGATATAATCTATACTCAGAATATCACTCATATAAAGGAAGGTCTGATTTGGAAAGTTTGAAAGAACAAGCTATTTTTAAAAACCCAGTTTATTTGATTGTCCTGTTTCAAATTTCTATTCCCAGCCATTTCCCTGGAGTGATCCCCATCTGGTAACCTGAGGGCACTTGATAGTATCAGTCAATTTTGGAAGCATGTGGTTCCTTCCTTCCCTTCCATGCACACTCGCTTCTCCACGGTGTGCTCTTGCCAAGCACAGATACTGTTGGTACCATGCTGGTACTTGCTTTACATACTGTCATTTACCAAAGTTGGCCACCCTTTCTTGGGTAAGTGTAACTTGTGCTGAACTCAGACACCAACAGCAACTGCCTCTTTACCTGTCAGCTTCCCTGGGAGAGGTCAGGTGGTTCAGTTCCTTCTGCTCATGCTTCTTCAGACCCCTGCTCAGCATGTTTAGAGGGCACTCCCAGGTCACAGAGTGCTGCACATACAACATTGAAACCTGAACATCTAAACTCGGTAGATAACATTGGTTTCTCCCAGAGGTGATGATTACCTTTTGTTTCCTCTGATAGGGATGTACATATGGTAGGATTTCAGTGATTACCCTTTGAATCCGATGTGCCCTCCAGCCCTAAAACGACATTTTTTGTGAGGTCCAAAAGCAGTCTCCAATAACCAATGGCAAATGCCAAAGCACTAACTAAAATTCAGCTTATATTTCAAGTTTTCCTTTATTTTCCGGAGTGAGTCCTTGTCCTCCTTTCATTAAGTCTCTTTTTGTCTTTGAATCTAGGTTGCTCAGTTTAATACACACCCTCCCTCCCACAAACAATTAGATTGAATCCCTCTATATTTAGAATGTACTGTAGATTGTAAGAATGTAATATATATATTTATAAACATGCCAACTGTGAATAAAATTTTCATTTTAGTGGCTTCATCTTTTTTCCTACTCTGAACACCTCTTTCCTTTCACTGTCAGAACATTTACCCTAAAAGAGACTGGCACCAATACGGAGACTTGTCCTTTGATGAAACGGTGAATTAAGGCTCTTGGCACAATCTAGTCACGAAGTTTTACATTGTGCAAAGTTGGAGGGAGGAGATATAACATCAACAACACGTTATGCTACAAATGTATTTGCAACAAGTCACCCTTCCGAGATTTGAAACTATTTGCAAAGAAATCCACGTGCATATTTCTAGCCTGAAAGCCTAATATGCAAGTTTCTGATTTTGGTGTGATTGGGAAGATCCACATTTGGCCAAATGCCTTTGAAGATGATTCTGAAAGAGTAAGTTGGTATAAATAGGGCAAATGTGACCAAGACTTTGGAGATCAATACTTGTGCATCTGTTGGTCTTTGCTTTCTTTCAGCACCTCTCATCAAGGCCTGGATTACTGAATCCTATGCAAGGACAAAGAGCAACAGTGAGGACAGCACAGTACAGGGCCCAGACTAGCTCTGGATGAGCACTCAGGTGAGGGAAGCGGCTTTGGCGCCATAATAGACCTCCCAGCA